TTAAAGAAAGCATTCTGCTGCACATGTTTAGTGGCAACATCATTACATCGAGTCAACATAGGTTCCTAAAATCGAGGTCTTGTATAACTTGCCAACTTGACTTCTTTAACTTCATAACCACTATGCGCGACCGACACCAGTTAGTCCTTTTACTCTATCTAGACATTTCAAAGGCATTCGACAGAGTCGATCACTTGCTGCTAATGAGTAAGATGATGACTATGGGAATTGACTATCCACTATTGGGATGGATTAAGTCTTTCCTCAGTGATCGCACTCAAGTGGTGAAGGTAGATTCATACATTTCAAAACCTAGGCCAATCACCTCTTGTGTTGTTCAAGGCAGTGTATTAGGCCCCCTTCTCTTTAATTTATACATCAGTGACATTCACCCTTGATAATTTATCCCACTTCCAAGCAATAATACAAAAGGAGCTCGATATAATATCCACATAGTCTGCTGCTTGGAAACTTCAGTTCAATATAGGCAAATGTGGCTGGATATGTTTTGGTGCTTCATCCGTGGATGTCCAACTATATCTTCAGTCTACGAAATTTCCTGCTCTTAAATGTGTATGTGATCTTGGACTAAGATATTCAAGGGACCTCACATTTTCCGAACAGGCAGGATCACAGACTCGCAGATCTAGGATCCTGATGGGTTGCATAGTTCGCAACTTCCGCTTCAAAGAAGTCAAGTTACCACTCTATAAAACTTGTGTACGTCCACTATCAGAATACCGTCCATTTATACTGTGTGGTACGGTCTGTGCAGTCAGGCTCATAGCGTCAAAATGAAGTCGTTCAAGTCCTGCTTGCGCGCAGTCCTCTTCACAGTCAAGTCTCTCAGTTGTGGAACGGACTTCCAGCTGAAGTGAAGGCCTCCAAATCAGACTCTGAATTTGGTCGGTTACTGGCTGACTTCTTATCATCTGATAACTTCTATAGCTTATCGAATACACCAACAGTCTCTTTCACGACACTTCGTGTACTCGGCTGTCTTAATGTATAATGAGAGTCACTACATATACACTGACCTTTCTTGCGAAGCGTTGGGGAGACTTCCATAAGTTACCACCTCAAACTAACGGCACATCCTGCCCCACCCAACACGGTAATCAAAGACAGAAGTCCTGTACCACATGACAGCATGAAATTTATATTTTAAAATACCCTATAGAATAAGGATATGCAATGAAAGCCATAGCAAGGGAAGTTAAATAGGGTGAAACATGAACATAGAAAACACCGTCCTTGTTGGAATTCTTGCTTTCTCCGCCTGTTGCTTTCTGTTTTTTTGTCGTTGTAGAAAAATAATTCAGTTCTAAACGCTGGCTTTGTTTCCATCGAGAACTAATCACCTAAGGAACAGACCATGGCTGAAACTACCCTTCATGGGGGGTAACTGGCTTTACGAGGTTCAGAATACCTAACTACAACAAGCAGAAATAAAAAGTGTTCACTGGACTGCAACTTCATTGTAATAAAAATCTAGGATTCACTCATATGGAAGTGACCAGCAAAGTCCAACGCTTACCAACTACAAGGCTGTCACGACTCGTGAAAACGAAGGACAAGATGTTCTGGAAGCCCATTTGCTGCATTCAAACAAGTCTATTGCTTCTGCATGCTGGAGTTGGAAAAGTGAACACATTTGGCTTTCAGTCATAATATCCATCAAGACTATGAATCTCTGTTGTGGAACGGTGTTGTAGCGACACACACTTCCCCAAAATCAACAGCTTAGGGTTTGACGACTTTCGACATTGATGCTGACCTTCATAGTTTAACTGGACTCACTAAGCTGAAGGCACCCGGTCAAGCATCCTTGCCATTTGGCACGCTGTCGTGTCACGTTGCACTGCTCGTATTCGACTCTCTAGCCAGTTAGTTGGAACACATCAGTATTTTGGCACAACCACCCAAGTATACTATTCCATCCGACTACGTTATTATGTTCTTCCTTGGTCTCGCATTCGTGGGTATATAACAAGTCCGAATAATTAGTGATTGGTCTTTGCGTCTGTCAAGTTTGCACCAGGACAAATCTTAAAGTGTTAACCTGGATGAGTTATACAGTCCTGGAATCGTCAATGAAGTACAATATGTAAACAATTCATAAACTTCTCATCATTATCTCAAGCAAAAAGCACAAACTGTTACAATGGAAGTATTAGCTTCAAGCATTATTTTTCTCCAGGTAATACGTGTAGTGTCTAGAATAAACCTGGCTTTTTTGTTAATGCGAAGACAATACTTCCACTTGTCCAACTTGATGATTTTTGTATGCTTATTCTGCTGGGTTGTTTTATATATGAACATGCGGCACTTACACCTTGCAGTGACAACGGGTAGGGATTCAGCTTACCTTCCATGAAGATGAATGTAATTTGTATACAAACTTATTCATACCTGTAAAAATGGTGTGTGCCTGCATATTCAGGAGTAGATATTGTTATTATTATTGTAAAGCCTTGTTAACCATGAAGACAGCTCTCAAGATCCAACAGAAGGATATTCATTCCTACCTGTATATGACGTCCAGGAGGGCCGTGGCAATCTCCTAAATTGGACCGCAGTAAACTAGCTCCTTTTCATCTCGAAAAAGTGAAGGATTATGGTCGTCAACAAATATAAAACAGTTCCAGTTGTTACCCCGTGGGTGAACTCAATATCTGCCACCCAAACATGGAAGGAGATCTGGAAGTTACGTTGAGTGAAACACTCGAAGCTTCGGTCCACTGTCGCCGTGCAGTAAGCAAGGCTAATGGATTGTTCGCGTTTTTTCGCGAACTTTGAGGGACCTAACTTTTTCCCTTTTCGACACAGTGTACTGGCTGTACGTTTGCCCCCATTTTGAAAAAAATTCACTCATGATGTCCTTGTGCTCGAAGAAGGATATATACTTCCTAGGGCGGGTTAAGAAAAAAGCTACGAAGGTAGAGGTGGGCTTATGGTTCAGACGTTAGCTGGGTCACAAAGCTTCTCTCAAGCTGCATCCAGTACAGTGCTGAAGAATCACGGGAAGATGATCATGGTGTCCATAATCATATGCTCATAATCCCTTCCATCCCAACACATTCCTCCTAAGCTTTGATCAGAATCGGACAAAGATCCGTGCCGACTAGCTTGTAGTTTGAGTACGTACACTGTAGAACTCCATTCCTTCAGAATTTGTGTCGGTCCTCTATCTGGTAATTTCAAAAGGAGGTTAGGTGAACATTCAGAGTTTTGTGGTACTGATGGGCTGTGCTCGAGAAGCTTTCCGCCGCCTTCAGATCTGTAGGAGTACTACTACTCTGAGATCAGGCCAATCAACAGTCGATTATCTCTGTTCCTTCAGGTTTCTGTTACTACCATTCCAAAATCTAGGACTTATTGGACAGACGTAGAGCTCAAGGAACCGCCATTCAACAATTCTACAACACGAAGTTTGACGGTATTTAGGATACCGTTTTTAGGAAGATACAGAAGCAAGTGCGGTTCCGTAAGGCAGGTATGATGGTAGTGTCGAACGTCTCTTGTTTGTATGATAAGGGTCACTTCGGTTGACTAAATACATTCCTAAGGTTTAATAGCAGGAAATGGCGTATCTCATATTCCAGCAATTCCTATTGTAGTGGGCGTTGCTGATAACAACGGATATAAGTGGTATATGTCGAGAGGGTGGCAGGAATCATAGGGAATTACCGGCAATGGGTGAGGTTTCTGCCAAGAGCAACGCAGGGGACAACACAGGCGTATTACAGGGGATGCTGCTGATCAGAGCGTATGAAGAGCCGGTCGAGAGCAAATCAAGACAGGAACGGAGAGGAAAGGAAGACATTTACAAATGGCTGCGTTAGTGCAAGGAGTACCATGTGTAACCACTACTATTCCAATTGTTCGTAATAAACATTCTCTCGTCGAGTTGTCTTCTATTTCTTCACTATTACCAATTATCTAGGAGATGCCTACAGAGCCTACGCAGTACTGCACTTCATGAGCAGACAGTTGGGTGCCCTGACCCGGGAACTCTTTTTGAAGCTGCTTAAGACCTGTATGAGAACCCACCTAGAGGTACGCAACGTCATTACACCGCCATATCTGACAAGAGACGTGAACCTCCTGGAGGAGTTCCAAAGGCGAGCTACAAAGGGTGTCGTGGGAATGAGGGGAAAACTATATCAGGACAGGCTGAAAGGTCTGGAGCTCTACTCCCTAGGCTACCCTAGATTACATGATGACTTGATAGCGGCTTACAGAATACTCAGTAACCCAGGTCATCCGAACAGTGGAATCCTACCGGACGGCCACTATGATGATCCTCTTGGTAACCTAAGGAGAATCGCCCACGAAAGAGCGAAAACCGTAGGCGATCACACTTCTCTCTGCGAGTTTGCGGCCACTGGAACACATTGCCTGCCGAGGTTGCTACTGCTCCGTCTGTTGACAGCTTCAAGAAGAGGTTGGACAGTTACGCAGCGAAGCACGGTTTACGCTCATCCAACTGGGATGTGAACCAGGCTAACGCGACTCACTAACTCGGTACGACTAACCGTTACTTAACACTTTGTAAAACCACTATCACTGAGAACTTGGCTCAACCTTATACCTTTCTATAGACGTCCCCTCCAGTTATTGTTTCCTACTAAAAGAATTATTATGTTCGCATTCATCCTATCATGTTATTTATTATTCTTCCTTCTGGCTTTACGCTCTCAAACTTTAACAAAAGCCCTCCCTATCACCTACCCCCCACGAACCGGCCAATGTTTTATTCTTCCGTGCCGTTTCCTTTTTCCTAATCTTTTTTGAATATATTCTCCTTCCTTTTTCCTTTTCTTTTTCTATTTTGCCTCCCTCTGCACTTTCTCTCTCTTGATTTCTCTACACATATTTTTCATCTCCTTTTAACAACCAGTTCGATCAATTGTCTGCTGGCACATTTGAGGAACCCATCTGCACCACAGTCCTCGGAAGAAAAAGCAAACAAACAAACACTCCCTACAAGTGTAAACAACACCCAGCCACCCGTCGGGCTAACCAGAGCTACAGAGGTCGAGTGGGTAGACCTACTGCATTGGAATCCACCAAAGACCTAGAACCGTTCCGCAAGACCTAGAAGCGAGCGCGAAGAAACCAATTTGTTTACACTAGCTCGTTAAAAGATATTGGATTCAGGAAGAAATATTTATCTACATAGAGATCTACTACAGTGATTGTTAAAATCCAAGTTACATAATATCCATATTATTAAAACTCAGGACTACCCACGACGGAGCATTCGACTCTATAACCTTGATAGGATTTAAGACGTCACGCTACAAGTGCACGCTGTTGGTGTAAAAATATCATGAAACCTGGTAGGTCATAGGTAGCAAGCTCATATATTATGTTCTTATATACAGAATCAGGCGGTGGTTTTCGTGGTGGACGTGGCAGGGGTGGACAAAGGCATAGTTTTGGTGGTGAAAAGAAGATTGACGGGGATGAAAGCCGTGGTGGTGGACGAGGTGGACGATTTAGCGAAAGAGGTGGTTTCCGGGGTGGTCGTGGTGGTGACTCTGGTGGACGTGGAAGAGGTAGAGGTGATTTCGGTGGACGTGGACGTGGGGGCTTCGGTAGGGGCACGCCACGAGGCCGAGGCGGTCGGGGTGGGATGAGAGGTGGCAAGAAAGTAATGATAGAACCTCATAGACATGAAGGGATTTTCGTTGCAAAAGGCAAAGAAGATTGTCTAGTTACGAGAAACGTTGTAGTTGGTGAGTCTGTTTACGGGGAGAAGCGTATCAGTGTTGAGGATGATGCTGGTGGAAAAATTGAATACAGAGTATGGAATCCGTTCAGATCAAAGTTGGCCGCTGGTATTGTGAATGGATTGGACCAAATCCACATTAAACCGGGTTCCCGTGTCTTGTACCTGGGTGCTGCTAGTGGGACTACAGTCTCCCATGTATCAGATGTTGTTGGAGATGATGGAGTTGTTTACGCGGTAGAATTTTCACATCGTTCAGGACGTGACCTTTTGAATGTTGCTAAACACCGTACGAATATAGTTCCAATTATTGAGGATGCCAGGCACCCTCATAAGTATAGAATGCTTGTGGGCAAGTTCCTATTAAAAGTTAATCTGTTTTAGGCATGGTGGACTGTATATTCGCTGATGTCGCTCAACCGGATCAATCAAGAATAGTTGGTGTCAATGCCGAGTACTACTTGAAAAATGGTGGACACACTGTTATTTCAATTAAAGCTTCTTGTATTGACTCAGTTGCTGCTCCTGAAGTTGTGTTTGCAAAGGAAGTAGATACGCTAAGGAAGTTGCAGTTCACACCACGAGAACAAGTCACTCTTGAACCTTTTGAGCGTGGTCATGCAATGGTTACTGCTCAGTATAGGTAGGTTTTCAATTTTGTCTATGATCTTGTCTTTCTCTAGGGCACCGAAGAAAGTAAAGAATGAACAACAGTAAATGCATTTGCTCCACTTGTACATAATACTACTCTAAACAAATATTATCTGAATATTTTGGCGTTATTGCTCCTGAAAGTACTACCATTGTTGGAACTGTCTATATTAATTTGTATTTCGTCTCATCTGTAAACTTCTGAAATTTGATTGTATGTTCGCTACTAGGCTGGTGTGAAACTCGAAGTCGTACTTACAGTTGAGGATATCAAGTCAGTAGCAAAAGTTAATAATGTTTAGGTTCGCCAATTGGGTACGTTATTGGACTGTATACTTTTGTTGGTTGCCGGACCCTTTTAAGTAAAACCAAGATTTTGTGGTTCATTCACATTTTTCGAAATACGTAGCTTCAGTCCTTCACCTTCAGGAAATGATAATAGGGCAGTGACCTGTATAGTTCGTTGCAATTGTTTGTACTGTAGAAATGGAGTTTCATATTGGAAGTATCAACAGTAGTTGGAAGTATGTTTCTCGCGAATTGTTATAAGTTAAAGACCATTTGATACGGTTATATGCATACATATTAATCGTCTAGTTGAAGAAAGGTAACCAGATTGGAACATAGCATCAGTTCTTGAAGTAACTGATCGTTGGGAAGTACTTCAGGTCTACGTGATAATTGAAATCGATGGTTGGACACTAAGTGATAAGGCTCAAAGTCAGTCTGAGTGGAGGTGTATCCGCACATTACCCTTAATTAATCTACTTTAATCTTCATTTTTCCTACTTGTAAGTACTTCCTTATTTCTTGATGTCTTTTTAGTGACTTCTTTCTCTATATGCTGGTATGATGTGCTAAGTTAAACTGTCCTACAGCAATATCAAATCCCTAGTTGATGCAGACTGAGTGCAAACAATTTCACTGGCTCAAACCCATCCAGCAAACAATTCTTAACTAGAATCTTAGTGTTTACACCCTAATGATTATTGGACTAGTTCTAAATACTGTCTTTACAAGCCATCGTATTCATGAGACTTCGAGCAGTTGAAACAAATCTACTTGAGGACCCACAACAGTTCGTAACTAGAAGAGATGGTGTGTTGTATTAGTCATGGCTAAACTTCTAGCTTAGTAGCCGATGACCACTTGCTTAAATTTTATTTGACTATGTGAATATTTTACTCAAGTTCCTCTTGAACTGGATTGGTGAAACCCAACAGTTACACATTGTCTACTGTTAATCACATTCTGAGGGAAGTTAATCAATACCTTTCCAACATGGTTGTAATTATCTTCGTTTACAGTTTCATGAGAATTTTATGTGTATGCAGTGGCGTTGCAAGTTCGTCGTACCCCTGAGAGGTTAGTGAATAGGTGACTATACTAGACAAAGTGAGAAATCACCCCACCTATTACGAATTTCGCAGTATGATGTGCCTCATGCAGACACTTCAATCAAATTAAGATAACCAAGAGGTATGTCTGTCGTATAGTGGTTTTGCTTAACGACAGTAATTTGCAGACAAGATGTGTTGCAGTCGCAACTGTCTTAAAACTAGTTTGACTCAGTTGACGGTATAGTAAGAAGTTAAAGTGTCGGCACTGCGTGAGTGCACCCAGAATATCAGATAGAACGTTAGTCGACACTTTCTACATGTAGGACGTAAATATCCAAATGTTGATAATAAGTGCAATACTCACTTATCGAAAACATTTGTACCATAAAGGTTAGCGACAAAGTAGACTTTTGGGAGTATGTACGGATTACCTGAACATCTCTGGGTATCATTATCTCAGTTTGAGGATTCGAAATCAATTCCTGCTTGGACGTATATGAACGGCAGTTAGGATAGGGTCCATCATGGTTAGGAAAAGATGTTTCTAATGGTAGGTTCATCGGTTATTTATCTATGACATGCGGTATTCACCGTAGACCTGTCAGTGTCTTCAAGTTTGCTGAAATTAGTGTCTGATGTTCTCAGATGGCAATATGTTGTAGGTGCACTTCCCATTTACTCGAATATCTTACCTACTATCATAGCGTATACGCTAGGAATTCAAATGGTACCAAATAAACTAAGTCTTCATAGTTTTAGTATTTTTATTCATTACTCAAATACTTGGAGGTCATGAGTTAAACACTAGGATTTTAGGACTGGTCAGTGTAATGAAACTAAATTGAGTGCATGTTTATGTACTAACAATGAGCCACATCTGTGGTGTAAGGGCTTGTGATACCGAGACGCTGAAGTCAAAGTCGGCGAACCTGGGACCCATTACTTAAAGACCGAATACCAGTGAGCCACATCTTGAGTGGGTAATGGTCAACTAATAACGCTGTAAGTTATACCTGTTGGCACCAATAAAAACAGATTCCGTGACCTCAGTGCTACATTCTTCATTGGTTCACTGATGAGGGAAGGGGGATGTATTGTATGGCTTTACGAAATAAGCGACTAGTATCAGTCAAATAAGTTTCATTGACAGACTGACTACTACTCCACCTAAAAAAAAACCTAAATCAATTTGATTCGATCTCCATTTACTCATAACACCGACTGTTTTAAAATTGCGATGATTTTACCATTCGAGTGTTGTATTCCACCCATTTCTATGGATTTAACACTGTAGAGCCAGAATCATTGGAAACCTGCGAGCGCTGAGTTCCATACTAAGACGAAACAGCTGTCTAGGTCTTCAATAGTTCTCCAACTGGTGTCGGTGTGTGATGAATACTACCATGGAATGAACAAAACGCTACAAAAATATATTTATAATAAATCAATCTCGTAGTTTAAAAAAAGTGAATTCTGCCTAAGCCAGGTTTGTGACTTTTGAGTTTTAAGGGGTGTTCAGAAGAAAATAAGCGATATGCTTAGACTGCAATAGCACAGCAGAAACTGAGATCAATCACACTATTAGCACTGTTTGTGCAGTAAGTTAATACCAAGTAGAACCAACAAAATTATATTTTCCTCAGTCTTAAATGTGACTTCGGAGCGGTGAGTCGTTTTAGCTTTGCGCCACTCAACCTCTGGTGGGTGATCTGTCCGACCCAATCCTGCACATCTGGAGGTTTTTCGTAACGCTGTAATTATGCAGATCGTGTCCATTCCTTGTTAGTGAAAAACAATGCGAATCAAGATAGACATTGACTCGGTATGCGCAATACATGTCGAAGCCATCTTAATCGCTGTACGCCTAAACCCTAGAAGCACTGTTCACATGGTAGTTCCATCACACATGACTAAAGATCTGTAAAGTTTTTGATGTCTTCTGCTTTCAACAATCATTTCTCCCAACTGTATAGAAGGTTAGAGCACACTGTAGCGCGACATGCCAATCTCATATTGTCAAGTATCTAACCAGTTAAAAGTGCTGAACAAACAATTGTCGCCATAGATTTTTACGAACTGCTGAGTGGGATATTTGAAACTGGCGGTCAAAAGAATAGTTCCTGAAGCTCCTGTGACGCTTTTCTGTCTAGTTAAAAACAACAGTTCTTAATACAGCAAATTTATGAGGTAGCTGGTGAAGAAAAACTGACGATAAATGTTGGTTGAGTATTTTGATGGCCTGTTTCATAGGTATTTCAGTTTAACTCATTGATATCTTTAGAATTAAAAGAACAACTTCCGACCGCAATGATTTAAGCGTAGAACATTTGATGTAACCAGGCAGAGAAAGAGATTGACTGTTATCTTTTTCATCGAACCAACTTTTAACACATAGACGTTTGGGAAATTCCACTACAATTAAAACAAATAATGAGTTGGATTGTAAGAAGGCAATTATGGGGCTACCTTAAAAGGAGTATGAGCAGTATATTATGCTTGCAACATTGAGTAAATAATACTCAATCACTATATTTGCCAAATAAACTAATATGGTATGAAATCCCTTAATGGCTACATTCTTGACATGCTGAAGGTGATGGTTCCCAGGCTATGGTATCCACCAGTTTGATGTCTCGGAAATTAAAATATCACAATTTCCTTAGTGGTGAAAGAAGCACTGTAACATGCCGCACCACCATGTAACTCATCAGCAATAGGAAAGACAGTAAGGTGACCACCAACCATGGTAAATAACATTTGTATTAATGGAACACTAGACAATATACGGCTAACGTGCATTGAGTGACAACAGTATAGTATACCAGGACACTTTGGGATGAATGTGTTGCGTCTTGTTCTTATTTACTAAAACCACCGATAAGTGGAATACAATCCACAAGCTTTTGGTACAGGTTTCTACGCACATTTTGGCTCTTTCAAATCGAACATATCTATTATAAGGAATAAACGAATTGGATTAAATTCTCACCTTGCGAATGATTTCCCACATAAAAAGTAATTCCTTGAAGACAGTTTATATACGTAATTGCAGTCAACATACTTAGGAATACGTAACTTTCTCATTTAAATTATTCTCTTCGAATTTCTGGCGCTGTTACACAGGTTGGAACGTTACTTTGCTAAGGTTCGGGTGACCAGATAGTAACCTTCAAAATGTGTTACACACAGAGGTACGTGAATACCAAATTACATTATTATTTTGATACAGTACCAGTTCTCATCAGAATCTAGTCAGTATTCTGACTGATTGAATACAGACTGTGGGTTTTTATGCTTTGACACAAAATAAGATGGTTTTCTGCGTGCACAACCTGTCGGTGAAAAGATTACCGGGAAGTGTGATGGGTTACTGAAAGATAAACTGACTGGCAATGAGGTAAACTGAATGTCATCGGATGTCAGCTGTCATTACAACTGTTTACAAGGGTCAACCACAAAATTATTTCAAGTGAAAATGACAACGAAGATGGCATTAAAGATATAAGCACTTGAACATCCGTGAAGCACTACCATATTCAGTCCATCTACACACCATTTTAGAACAAGAAAACTAGACAACGTCGCGAATAAAGTTAGTTCACTAGAAACCTCTCTTATGATGAAAGCGAAATGAAAACTGTAGTACATATCCACTTTTGAAGAAATATTATTGTATACATATATAAGAATTCAGTAGGTGTCTACAGTGGAGCAAATACTCGAAAATGATGGTTCAGCTGTTCTTGAACATGAAGACGACTTGCATTCGTGAATGCACCACTACCTTTGAGCCTTTGACAACAAAACACTTGTCGAATGCGATTGTGAAGCAACGCCATACCACACATCAAACAAGGCTCAAGTGAAACGTACACATCTAGACCTGTACATAAGTAAATTTCAGAATACTGATTTTCTGCCTTTCTCTTCAATGTGGCAACAGATGATACAGCAAGTAATACTGCATGGTCCAAATAGGAGGTATCAGCTGTCGCTGTCGTAGATTCGGCCAATGCAATGTCAGTTTCTGGATCGACAATAATAGCTGCACAGACTGGACCTCCAAGGCCTGCGCATGACTGTGGATGTACACCACTTATTTCTGTTGTCTTTTTCGACAAGTCGGTAACACGTTCAAGCCACGACGAATGTCTGGAAAAAATAAATATTAAGTTTTTCGACTGAAAACAAGAAAAGAGAGAGTTGTACGATTTTACGCCTAACATATAGGTAGATTACTAAAACACTTAGTGACCTGTAATAGTTTCGTAGCATAGAATTGTAAATTATTATAGCTAGAATTCGTAATAACCAGCTTTCTTAGACATGCACAAGAAGAGCAGGAATTCGAGTTGTATTTCACCCATTCCAAACAACCCTGCAGTTTACACAATCCCAGCAGTTACCGAACAGTTCAATCAATCTCAGTTATACAATAATGAGTAGAAATATCTACAAGCATACACAATAGGATTACGACATAGCTCATGGTACGATAGAACAGAAATAACCAACAGAGACTGGTTCTAAAGGCGACCCCATCAACTAATAAAACAGCCTACTATTTTCTACATTGTGCTCAAATGCTACCACCCGAGTCACAACAAACGAACCTACTTGGCTACTTCCGTATTCGGTAGAGTAGTCTTAAGTATCATGAACTACAAGCTTCATTTCACCTACAGGTAAATAACTTGTATAAACATTCAGGTTAGGCATGTTCAGTCATTAAATGTATCATTTCGACAAAGTGGTTCATAATTCAATTTAGAACACTTTCACAGTTCAGCATATCGAAAATGATCTATCTTTCCAATTATCGACATATTTTCAATCTAATGATTGTCTGAAGTTTTCCGAGTTTTAATGCGTGGTTGTTAAGTTTGTTACTATATTTGATTTTTTCAACATTTAATGAACCCTGACCTATGTGACTTGACGATTGAAAATCGGAAAAAATTGTTTTTTATGGTTTTCTTCGTTGTGCAGTCATTGACCATTCAATACACTTCACTGAAGTGCTTTGTTCTTAAAGTATAACAAGGAAACCAGAAAATATAGAGCATGATAAGTAAATGCACTAGTTCAAGTTACAAAATTTTCTACTTAGAAGGTATATGATTTTATCCCAGAAGTTAGGGAACTGCTCTGCTTTCACTGATTGCTGTATGGCTATCACAATGGAATTTCTGCTCTTTCGCACAATAAACCAACTAGGTCAGTTGAAATAGTAGTTTCCAAACAATTCACAACCTGTTGGTTATCTTTTTCCTCAGATTTTTCACAGTCTTATAGACTTTCGCCAGAGTTTGACGGTTAATTACATGGAGTCATCCGGAATAAATGACAGCCAGAAATTAGTTGAACAGCTTTTTAAAGTGTTTGGTGTTTCACATCACATATCCAGACCAGTGCCAAAAGTATTTTTACCTACAAAGTTTTGATGTTAGGTTTAAAGTAGTTAGTCCGTTTAATATTTTTAAAATCAAAAGAAAAATCAGATTTCCTACCACTGTGTATAAAGAGAGCATTAAACGCAAGATTTGAAGAATATCATATTGTCAAACATTCGTTTATTCAGCATTATCAGTGCAAAAAATTAGTGAGGAATTTAATAAAAATTGTATGTTTAACACCAATCAGCATAAAAAACACAAGTAGTGATTGCGAACAACTCGACAGATTGTTTAACCAAGCATTAAAGTATGAAAACCACAGTAATAGTTCACAGTACATGTTTTATTTACCAACAGGGTTATGTGAGGTGGTAGAAAATATTCGTGGCTTGGATGAATGATCTCAGTACTATTGCCAGAACACAGTATTATTTTTGCACAGGCTTTTGAATGCAAACCGTCTAATAACCAGTGAAAGGTGCATTAGAAGCTGCAAAGCACTAAATTAATTAAGAGTTTGAGCGAATTTTGACACATGAGTGCTAATTCCAATTACTGAGTATGAGAAGTGGTAGAAAATGAAGTGTAACTCAACTTGGTACATGCGATGAGCCCCACATATCGTGTGAGGCCTTAGTGGATTAGTTGGACCGAGGTAGGTGGGGTGAGGTTCAGACCCGTTATCTACAGCTTGTAACTTACGCTCTTAAGTCGATAAGACACATCTCTATACGAAAGGTAAACTAATGGAAGACGAGACACTCACAGACGTTATGGTTAAGATGATCAACCTGAAAAACATTTGAGATGTAGGCGTAGCTTATTGTCTTGGGCATTTAACTTCCGATTTCAGACCCTTAGTCACCTTAATACACAAATCTGTACAGAATTGTCGAGTTGCATAATATATTTCCACTAATTGTACGCGCTCTAGAATTAAGAAGTGACCACAGTTTGATCAGCCACCGTGAATTATTAGATTTTCTTGAAATTGTCTAAAAATCGCGGTTTTGGTATACTCTGTTGAAACTGATGTGAAATATAAGGTGGAAATCTGCGAATTTCTCACTGTCATTTTACAGAACATTATCAGCGTCAACATAAAAAAATTAGACAAATGAGATTTTCCTACAAGTGAAAAATGTCTTGTATAGATAACATTCAGTGTAACTAACTGGTAACCATACTTATCACATGAACTCCTAACACAACGTTTCTTACTCCGGATCTTGTATCGGACACTGATTAGCAGAAATTGTTGACAGAGATACTCACAGAGAAAAGTTTATTGAGATCTAATGAAAATGAGGTCAAATGGAAAGTAAAGTAAATTAATTTAATACAATTAGATTTATGTACTGAGTTGAGTCACGCGTAGTGTGAGGGTTCTTGATAATACCCGATCGCTTGGGTCGAAGTGGTTAGGTCAGTAAGCCAGTTTCATAGATTGTTCACCGGCTACTTAGACAAACAGATAAATCAACGTAGAACGTGGCACTGAATCACATCAGTTCACGTTGCCACACTTCGCAGAATCAAATACAGAGGTAGATAGCCAAAGAATGATGTATGAGAATTGAGAGAGCATCAAAATATAAGGGTTAATACAAATATCCCAGACTTCGAAAATCGAAAAGTGTGTATACGCCTGTCCTATTGTGATTAGTGGTTGACTCACAGCAAGAGTCAGAGATTCGAATCCCGTTCCACCTACCGAAGCATGGGCAACCGGGTAGTGTCATTCGTCTTTACACATTAGATGTGGCTTATCGCCTACTGAGCGAATGTGCACAAGGTTGCTGAATGAGTTTCGCCATTTTGATCGGTTTTGAGCTATATTGCAGTTCTCAACTACTGGATTTCTATCATCTCGACAACTTCAACCAGATAGCCTACATCTTATACAGTTCAGATCAATTTATGGGTCAGTGTGATACATCGGTATGTCAAATTCCATTCTCATTTATTATTCAGCATATGACAACGGAATGAGTTGATAAAACCCTGTTGGTTATTGCTGCACATACTTAGGTGAACCACCTTGTTATGTTCTTACCACCACACTAAGTTTTGAACACCTAACTGTATGTCCCAAAAACATGTACATAGTGGGCAGTTACATGTACTTTTTATTAAATTGCCTGATTGAATGGATTACCTGAACACTTGAGAATGCAAATAAAAATTATAACTGCGATTTATGCTTTTCTAATACAGGCTTGAGAATCTAAATTCTAGCTATTACTAAGTGAGAGTACCAGTGCATGAAACTATTTTATAAACGGTATAAGTATACATCAGAAAATTTTGTAAACAATAAGGTAGAATTATAAATATGTAGCACAAACATTCTGTTAAACATATCAATAACCAATTTATAAATCCATAAAACCTAATTACCTTTCAAGTTCTAATTTTGAGAAGTATGAAGATAATAGATCTCTTCCGACAATTAATAATTCCTCAAGTTCGGGACACGCTCGTAATATACAAGGCCAGCCCATCACAATAGGTTTAAGAGATAAATTCATAAATGAAGAGAAATTCTTCTCCCTTGATTTACTGCAAAATGAATAAATTACTTGATGGTTGCGCGTAAGTGGTGGATGAAGTGGTAACCAGCATGGCGTTGGTGAAGTGTTGATTATCTCATTTTCAGATGAATTCAAATTCAAGGACTCAATCATAGAGGCTATAAAATGATTAGCATCCAGCCACGTAAATCTGAAATTAAATATTAATAATACAAAAGAATGGCGATTATCATTACATTGTGCAATGCTCGCATCTGAAACATAACATGAAGCCAGGCTGCAGTTAGCGATGGGCATCCTGAAAAATTTATCGGAGATACAAATTCGTCAGATTTTAAAGCGTCCTCATTTACAAATCCAATTATGCGATATCTTGAGGATATTTAGAAGTAGTTATGCAATATATACTACACACACAGAGTATATACTGTATTTAGTAGGAAAATAATGCTAGGATCAAGTACATCACTGTACTCTTTCGATTATTTTACTGAAGATTAGAACGAGTAGAATAGCTAGCTGCATTATTTTTGACTTCCAATCACCTTTTTTGGGGTTGGGTTGTTAGAACATTTCTCCGATGCATTGTTAGAAATCTAGCTCATGCAACTCAATAAGGTTCCAATAATAAAATATTTTGATATTTGAAAATCTTTAGAGTTGGGTAGTTTACGCACGGAGTTTGTTATTCTGTATTTCATTAACGAATTTTGATGATTTCATTTCATATTGGAAGGTAAATCAGTCCCATCGATTCACTTATTCGTTAATGTTTGACTTGACAACTAAATTTTTGAAAAATCTCTGCTGTTCTGAGTTTATTGAATAGGAAAAATACAGGCTTCTTCAGTTAAACTTATGCCAACAGTTACTTGTGTACATCTTTATGATGCACAACTAATTGGATCATTTCACTATTAATCTATTTGTGAATGAGAAGGTTAAGCGACTGCCAACTGCATTTGATGCAGCGCAGAATATACCAGACAGTTTAACCAATAACATGGAGTCAAAATTATAGAGAAATCTGAAAATCATATATGAAAGAAACTCTAGGGACACTAGAGAATTTCAAAATACCTGGAACTAGTCAACAAGTAGCTAAGAGACGCATCGGTAGAATCGGTCTATCATATGATAAAAAGTTTTATGCAGTCGTGCGGTCAGTGATCAAGTTGTCCAGACAGTCAGTAGGAATGCAGATGAGCAAAGTCCGTCGAAACTAAGGTCATCAAGGCAGGCAAGACGAGTGCTGATTTAGAAATTCAAAAGGCGCATTTATGTTTGAAGCTAGTATTGATAATATTATCCACAGCAATACTAGGAGGTTTATGATCAGAACGTCAAGCATAAATATTGCAGTGCGAAAAAAAATGGCAGTTAAGCCAAATTGCTTTCCACTATTTGTAAATAAAATATTTTTGCCACGCTGTATAGATGAACTGCTGAATGGCCTGTGAGAGTCATAACAGTAAAAAGGTTTAGATAATATGAGTTATTCTGGCGTGTGAAGATGATTAATTCAAAACTCTAGTTCAGCGTATACCCCAGATTAATCTTGCACTTGTGCAGAATATATGCAAAATAAAAAAAAAATAGTACAGACTTGATGTTGTTTGAGCAAATCGCTACCAATATAATTTAGTACACCCCTTCTAATGTTTTCTTGTCCACCATTATAATACAATGCAACATTATCTGCATGCAAATCTCGAAGAAATGGTTTACAAACACAATCAGGAAAGCAGTCTTCACTAAAAAAATACTCCATATTTCTGCAATTTGCAGTACATCAGATACCATAGCCCTTTCAGGAATTCTGAACACTATTTAAAAATATAGATAATAAATTCTTGATAATTATGTAATTAATGCAAACTAGAAATGATAGATAATAATTATCGTTGTACACTACAATGATACTTATATTACGAACCTTGATTCAGCTATGTTTAGAAAGACATAAGTTGATCCACTTCTATTCGACCGACAACTATCTATTCGTTTGATATGATTAAGTTTCTCTGGTAGTGGTAGGAAAGTCTGTAAGTACTGATTAATTTTACTTAGATGAGGACCTGAATGAACCAACACACACCAACCTGGTATCAAATGTGATCGACAACATTCAACTTCATGCGGAAGTATTGATACCAATTTGGAAGCCATTGTGCAGAGATTCTGTTGCGTAGAGATGGAATGATTGTTGTCAAGACATATCCGTTTGCATAGTGACGCAGAACCCACCTATAAAAAGGACAAGAATCATTTATATATATATATATATATATATATATATATATATATATATATATATATATATATATATATATATATATATATATATATATATATATATATATATATATATATATATATTACTAATTGTAATTTAATTACCAAGGGTTCCGAGAAAAGTTTGAAATTATCACCAGACTGGTTGTGATTTGGGACTCAAGCTACAGAATATGCAGAGATGCTAACGATTCTGATAAGCACTTATCTTAATCATCCACTGTTTCCTTTCAGTTTTGACGATGGGATTGCAAAAGTAATTCTGTTTAAGGTTTACCGGTTTTCATAACTAATCAGAAACAAGTTATGTCTTGGTAACTGGATATTGACTTCAGCCTGTGGTACATTCGGGTAGACAGAGAAGTCAGATATATTTCTTTCAAATATACGAATTTGGCTTTATCTTGCTGATTCGTGCCGATTCAGCTGTGGACAGAAGATGAAGTCATACGCCTCCTGACAGGTTATTCGGCATTCAGTATTTCACCAAGGAGGCTTGATCAATTTTAGTATGATTTTCATCGTCCGTCAGAAAAAGGGTAACATCAATAGATGTAGCCATTTCTTTCATCACAACAGGATGGTACATTTCCACAGGTATACACCATAAGGAGCAAGGTAAATCAACGGTTTTATTGTGCAGATCCGATCACATTCGCAAAGTGAATGAGCACATGGAAACAGGACCATATGAGGGGATTAAGAAATCAGTGGATACCATTATGAATGAGATTAAGAAATTCGCAGTGGATCTAATGCATTGAATAAAGCCTTCCCTAGATGACAGATAGTTCAGCAAAATAAATCTTTTTCGATGAACTTATTCTTAAAAGCTTTACAGTCGTACATACACGGATGTTAGATTTTTGGCTGATCGTTTATTTTTGACGACGTACTATGATACATCTGTGAAAACTTGACGTGAGTGATCAATCTTCAAGATATTCAAAAAGACCATTAGTTAGGACTATGGTAACAAAAAAGACCAAACAAATTGTTTTCGTATACATAGTTCTGGTTCCAAATGCTTCTGCAATATATGGTAACGTAACATTTGAGAAGGTTCGGGTAAATTTTGTAAATAGTGCTGAACAATTTATTCAAAGCCGAATTTTATATAACGACCACTTGTTGCAAAATAGACGAGTTGATTGGTCATTATTACCCATTACTAAATCACTATGAGATGTTCGCGAATGCAATAAAGGGCAAGCCTATATGCCTAGTTTCAGAGGAGAAGGTGGATTGATAAAGGCATAATGAACTGGGTTTTTTTGACAACTTATCCTTCACGGTGGAGTACATTAGAGGGCAATTACGATACGTTTTTCCAAAGTTTGTCCCATAATACTTTTTAGGAATGGATTTACCCAGGTGGTTTTTCAGAAAAGTTAGCAATATATGGTCGATGCGTCATATATCGACTTTGAATACCTTGTTCAATATTATTTACAAAACTTAACCAAGCCTTCCCAAATGTTGACGTCACCCATTTACCATATATTGCAGAAGCATTGATAATTCATCATTTGAGACTAGAACTATGTATGCGATTTTTGTTAGGTCTCTTTTGTTACCATAGTCCTAAGGTGAATAACTGATAATGCAACTAAATATCTTGAAGACTGATCACTCTCATACCAAGTTTCTTGATTTATTTTATTTAAAATATACTTTGTTTCTCATTATTATTTTTTGTTCGACTTATACCTCTGGATTATCACTCATGCCACACAAAATTAGTTTTAACTTGTGTTAGTTTCGTCAGAATATTGTTACTGGTATCATGTTCCCTTAGGCGAATGAGTAACACCGGTTTTAGAAAGACCTTTAGTTTTTAGATCAGTCAAGAAGTTTAATTTAGTGAGGAAAACTAATAATCCCAGTAGAATTTATGGTACTAGTACGATACAAGCTAGGGTGTCCCCATTAGGCGTATAGTCGGTTTTAAAAACACTCCAACCTATGAGTTGCCTAAATATTTATTGATGATACTAGGTCTGAGTTAGAAACCATTCAATATCTCGTTTTACTAACTCTTATGACTTTAAAAATAGATTAGGTGATATACAATTGGATAACAATGAAAAAAAGGGTTATTTGGATGTAACTAACCTGCACATCAATATACCGACCGACATAAATCTGGGGCAATTAGAAATGAACTTAATGATAACCATGAGCTTACGTATCGAACTAAGGTACAAATCAAAGAAATCAGGCTAGAAGTACAGCTTTTTCTGACGTCCACAATTCTTAAGTTTCAAAATAAAATGTATGAACAAACGGATGGAGTTGCCGTGGTTTTACCAAATCCCCATCGTCACAGACACATAGACATTGATATGGAAAGTTAGGGAAGCATTGTCCTTGAAACACTTAGTTCTACTCCAAAGTAATGGATTAGACACGTACATAACACATTTAAAGGGGTGAAATCGGAACACAAAGATAAATTCTTTGCATATACAAGCTTCGTACTGAAGGTAATCAAATTTATCTACGAATTAGAAAGTGATGGTGAGTTAGGGATGTCGGGTTGCAAGATACAAACAAAACAAGATAGGAGTTTAGACACTAGCATTTATGGGAAACATTAGCACTTAAGTTGCTACTTAAACTTCAAATCATCTCACTCTATGTCAGTTATAATGGGTTTGTGAATGTCTAAATAACAGTCCATGAAGTTTCTGGTTATTATTTGGAGTTGTATAAGGGAAATAGACTCACCACTTTGGGTTTATGCGACAACTGAAATCGGTGGTTGTAGAATGTAGGCGGAATACTTTAGAATTAGTCTATAGTGCACACGTAAAAAATCTTTATGTTAGTCGTCATACCGAACTTTATTATCGTTTCTTTCCTTCTTCTTCTCTTCTCACAACTTTCCAACTTATTTCTCTACTTTCATCATGGTACCTTCCACCTTAATGTTCTGATGGTACGTGGCTACAAGAATAATTACACAGTGATGCCAGGTTTCAAGTTAATGCTTACTGACTGGTTAAAACACTGCCACGGAGGATTTAGATTAACCTGACACAATTATCTAAGGAATCTAGTATGTAAAGTAACGAAATCTTGCGCAAAAAACTGGATTACACTGGTGGCAAGAAAAATCATACTGGAGGTTATATATATATATATATATATATATATATATATATATATATATATATATATATATATATATCACTGTGGTGCCTACAGACAAAGTTATCGACAACAACTTTTAGCTCAGATGTGTCTTATTTTGAATGGTGAATCATGGTTTCTGTTACTTAGGCTTTAACGAAAAGACATCATTTTATTTATCACTAGAATACATCAGGTGATCAGTCGACTGAGTATTATGACGACATTTTATGATTCCCATAACACAGCCCTTATTTTAAACCTTCAAATGGAAATTGCTTATCTAAACTGGAACTAGAACCTCGCCTGGTTAACTAGTTCACTAGTTACTAGCCGGTCCTAAGCCCGGGTAAAGAGGGAAGGTTGGGCATAGGGCTAGCAACCCTACCCCGTAAAACAAATCTAACCGCTAAACAAACTTCAAAGCACAAACAAAATATAAAAAATGAAAACAAAATTATTCCGCGCTGGAATCGGGGAGGCGAAATGACGCCACCTGGTGAAAGCCTTTGGGAAGCCAATTGGCCGATGTGTCTTCTCTCGATGAAAGCGAAAGTAAACGTGGGGACATGGAATGTCCGCACTATATTTGAACCCAGCAAGGCAGTCCAGATTGCAAAGGAGATGAGAAGGTATCACATCGAAGTGTTTGGGATCTGCGAAAGCATATGGAATGGGAGTGGACTCTCCAAACTATCAACTGGAGAATCAATAATCTACTCCGGTCACCCAGACGCCAACCACGAGCACACTGAGGGAGTGGCTATCATGATGTCCTCAAGAGCATCGAAGGCACACTGTCATGCAGTGGAAACCAATCTCCTCCAGGATCATGACAGCAAGATTCAACTCAAAAGGAAGGGCACAATCATACAATGCTACTCCACGCAACTACAAATAATGCAGAGCAAGAGAAAAAAGAGGAATTCTACAGACAACTCCAATCAACACTGGACAAGACGTCAGTTGGCGATATCAAAATTCTAATGGGTGACATGAATGCCAAACTGGGAGGGGACAACACAGGAAGAGAACTAACCATGGGTCGAAAGGCGCTAGGTGAAATGAACGAGAATGGAGAATTGTTGGCAGAATTCGGTGCATTCAACGATTTGGTGATTGGAGGCAATGTGTTCAAGCACAAGGATATCCACAAAGCGAGCGACATGGATTACATCAGATGGACACACTAAAAATCAAATCAACTTTATCTCAATCTCAAGAAAATGGAGACGCAGTCTACTGAACACAAGGTCAAGAAGAGGAGCAGATGTAGGTTCAGACCACACACTATCTAGTGCAAGGAACCTGCCTTCCAAATCAAGTTAAAAGCCTTCAAGGAAGCTGGTGATAGACCACAGTTCAAGTACAACACTCGGAAACTGAAGGATGAAACTACAAAGGAAATCTTCATGGCCGCCATCAAGACAAAATGGGAGATATCGAGGTACATCCCTGAAGAAACCTGTGTGGAAGAACACTGGAAGTCTTTGAAAGCTATGTGGAAAGAAACCTGCACAACAGTATTAGGAAGGAAGAAGACAAGGAATGGATCTCGACGGACACATGGAAGCTGATAGAGCAGGGAGAGGAGGATGGTGAAGCAGAAGATAAACCAGTGCATGGATGCTCAACGAGAAGAGGAACTGAGTATAATGTATATAACACTGGACAAAGAAGTGAAGAAGAGTGCACGGAAAGACAAAAGACACTTCTACGAAACACTGGCAAGTGAAGCAGAACAGGCTGCAGGTAGGCAAGATAGAGAGAGACCTGACAACATTGTATCAAATAACCAGGTTGCTATCTGGGAGGAGATCAACGCAGACGAAGCCAATAAAAGATGATGACGGAAATTTAATTACGAAAGAAGAGAAACAAAGGAAACAATGGGCCCACCATTTCAAGAAGCTCTTGAATCGACCACCACCACCACCACCTGCACTTCGTCTAGAAATACCATCTACAGCCGCTGAACTACAAGTGAACATGAATCCTCCAACAAAAATGGAAGTCCTGAACGCCATAAAGCTACTGAAATGCGGGAAAGCAGCAGGACCAGATGGGATCCCACCAGAAGCACTGAGAACAGACGCAGAGACAACAGCGGACATGCTCATACCACACCACTATTGCAGAAGGTGTGGAAGGAAGAGAAGGTACCTGACGATTGGAAGAAGGGTTACCTTGTCAAACTGCCGAAGAAAATAGACCTCAGTGTTTGCAAGAACTGACGCGGAATCACTCTCCTGTCCACCCAGTGCAAGCAGAATATTAAGCCGCATCATCCTGGAGAGGCTAAAGGATGCACTGGATTCAAAACTACGACCGGAACAGGCAGGCTTCAGGAAGTACAAATCATGTGACGACCAAATTGCAACGCTTCGCATCATCATAGAACAGAGCATAGAATGGCAATCAGCTCTCTACCTCAACTTTATCGACTTTGAGAAGGCCTTTGACAGCGTCGACCGAGAAGTAATTTGGAAACTGCTTCACTACTACTGAGTACCGCAAGCATTTATCCGCCTCATTCAACAACTTTATGAAGATGCCACATGCCAAGTAATTCACAATGGGAAGCTCAGTGATGCTTTTGAAGTGAAGACAGGAGTGAAACAAGGTTGCCTACTATCCCCCATGATATTCCTGATTGAAGCGGACTGGACCGGATCATGCAGCAAACAGTGAGGAGCTGTGAGAAGAGGGGGATACGCTGGACTGCGGAAAAGAACCTAGAAGACTTGGATTTCTCCGATGGCTTGTGCCTGATGTTACACAAACTTGAAGACCTACAGGTGAAAACTAACAAGTTGGCAGAAGAGGCAGCGAAGACCGGACTTCAGGTGAATATAGAGAAGATAGAAGTGATGAAGATACCGCACCACCACCACCAACAACAACACACTGCAGTCACCATCAACGGGAGGAACTTAAAGGAAGTAACCTCCTTCACCTATCTAGGAAGCACTGTTTCAACTACAGGCGGCACAGGCACAGACGAGGATGTCAAAGTCAGAATCGGAAAAGCAAGATAGGAGTTCATTAGCCTGAAACCAGTGTGGAGATCTTCTGCACTCAGCATGCGGAACAAGATACGGATTTTCAACACCAACGTCAAGTCAGTGCTTCTGTATAGTTCAGAGACTTGGCGCGTTACGAAAGGCATTCCCAATAAACTACAGACATTCATCAATAACTGCTTACGCTCGCTACTGAAGATCAGATGGATTGCCAGAAAGAATAAGCAACAAGGAGCTCTGGGAACGAACCAACCAAGAATCTATCGCTCAACAAATATGTAGAAGGAAGTGGAGATGGATTGGGCATACACTGAGAAAGCCGACTGGGGACATCACGCGTCAGGCCAGGTACTCGAGTGGAATCCCCATGGGAAGCGACGAGTTGGACGTCCGAGGGTGACATGGAGGAGATGGTGCGAGGAGGAAATGAGAGCTTCTGGGCTGTCGTGGAGCCAGGTTCAAAAGATTTCGGCGAACAGAGTTCACTGGAGACGTGCTACTGAAGCCCTATGTTCCATTAGGAACCCAAGGGACTAATAAAAAAATAATAAAACTGGAACTAGAGAAATTCAAAAATGAATACAACATGGAAAGTCAAGCAACATGTAGGGGAACAAAAGCAACCTCTAAATCCTTTTCCAGTAGGGGCAGAAAATGCAAATCATCGTTCATTTCAGCTTCTTTGAATTGACTAGGAACGGATGGATGATTGTCAACGTACTCAATATTCCATCCAATAGCATTAAGCAGACTTATCACTCGTTTTGCGTGAATTGGATGTACTGATATAACCTTAGCTTCGAAATTGACCGTATATTTTTCTATACCTGAAAATGATCAAGTGAAAAGGCAAACACAAGCCTAGTATTTATTAATACTTTCATAAAAGCACAACGCCTTGCAACGCAACAACGTGCTTTAATACGTAATATAAATGTTTATTTATTCTGCAGACAGTTGCTAACCTGAAGAGGTGGTAGCATTTGGCCTGTAGCGCTTACCTACTTGACTTACAGCAACAAAAACGTATACCGATTTCGTAGCTGTTATTTAAGAAACAATAAATGAGTAATAAATGAAATATATTTGTAAAATCCGGAGGCAAAAAAAATTTCTGACGTCTCACGATTTCATGAAAACCGCTTCTTCGGAGAAAAAAACAAGTACAAGTTATCGCATAATTCATAACCTATTTACTCAATGCTCAACTTATTTAACCCTGTCTGGTCAAATTGTGAGCTTGAAGTTTATTAAATGAATAGTATGAAAATCTAAATCCAATATTTCTGAGTTGTTGACTGTAATGGCAGTAGAAGAGATACTGACAGATGTTTCGAGATGTCTACGGCATCTGTTCTATTTAAGGCAACAGACAACAAATTCGGATTTTCTTTACAAAGAAACGTAAGACATATCCTTAGAGCTCAGAATTTGATACTCCACAGTGACAGACAGCTGGTATACGTAAAAGCTCTTCCAAACAAAAGAAAACGGTGGACAATACATTCTCACGAATGAAATATTTCTGAAAACCTAAACGCATTTCCTAATCATTGCTGAAGTCAAAACACATATAGTTATATCTATCAGTCTAAGCTACACCGTTTTAGCACCAACGCTATCCAAAGCCTCTAGGTAAACCCTTCGTATCTGCAGTGTGTAGATATTCGCTCCCATTACCTCACTTCGGTAAAAATGCTGCCATCACGTGAATGCACTGGATCAGATCTTCCCAACAGAGTTTGTCATTTCATTCCTGCATGAAAGTACTTCTAGAATATAAATGTGATCAACCTACTCAGTCGGCCGATTAGCACTGGTGCACTGCATGAAGCGGAGTTCCAGTTCCTGTGAGATGAAGTGAGGTGACATGACAGAATTAACTTGTGGGATGCGGTTATCATTGCTCTTATCTTCCAAAAAGATTATGCGATATTTTGGGATGACCACTCACATATCAGTTCACTAACATTTGCATCCAAAATATTGGCTGGTATCATGCTTCATAAATTTTAAAAATTGCGTGATTGGCTCATTCATAAGCAGCAGACTATGCTTCGTTCAGCCTGTCAACTCACCAGTCACATGTTCGCCATCCACTATCCAGGTACTGAAAGCCATCGCGCGTATTGATTCCACAGTTGAAATGCAAAGCACTTTCACAAGATAAGTAAGAACATGTGCTTTCACTCACTTTTAGCGGTGAATCATTGGAAGCACTCAATAGGTCCATGTATCTGCGTATCTATATGAGTGCAGACGAAAGTGATAAGGACGACATTTCTAGCTTAATGTTGAAAGCTAGAGCAGCGTATGCTCACCCTTGATACCGTCATGACGTTACACTGGCTGTAGCAGGGTGGGTGCTTTACACATCGATGTTGGGGGTTCTACTCTATGGAAGTTGACCTATCCGAGCTGATGTCCGAAGACTTTACGCATTCGATTACGGTTACCTACTCAGGGATGCTAGCACTTTGTGCAGCCACTGTAATTAATTCTGAGGTGGGGTGGTGCGTATGACGACATGATAAGGACCATCATTCATTAAGTGAAGTTATCGTCCAACACTGGGTTTTTTAGCTTAAACATCTGTCAAGGGTGCCATTCTAGAGGTTCTCACTCGTTATCATCCACAAAGTCTTGAGTATTTTCACCAACCTCCCTTTATTTTTCATGTTCATTTTTCATATACTTTTGTCCGTCATTCTTTCTGAGTGAATTGTCTCTTTCCTGAGATTCAGTGGATTGTGAAAACTTGAAGGAACATAATTCCGTAGCGGGTTGTTTGTGATTTCTCTGTTTGTCCTAGCTTAAGTAACTGATCAACTTGATTTTAAAAAATTAGTTCAATAAAATAATCTAAGTCCTTTTTACACGCTTCATACAAATCTTTTTGACTTCAATATATAGTGATAAAAGTCACGGTGTGAAATTCGCGAATATAAAAAGTAATCGTGACACTACAGAACAAAGAGATACACTGAAAATGTTACGGTCTTTATAATGATAATCTAGCGAGAATAACAAGGAGTATCCACCTGAAGTGATAATATTATTAGAAACATTTAGACTTATCGAAATCGGATAAGTACCTAATAACCTTTCTTTGATACATAGTAGTCACTGCACTATCTTTATAAAAAATAGCAGTTAGAAAGCACAAATTTGTGCAAGTACGAACTATTGGAAGATCGCCAGCAATAAGGAATCACATTAGCATACATCTAGTTGTGAAAGTGATCTGATACGAAACATGACAACAGGGAAAACAAAAGAGAAGCAAATTATTTAAAATATCTGCAATGTTGGCCTTCTAAAAGAATACTGAGATATGCACAAGTGTTACCATCTTTATCGGATGAGTACTTTTACATGTAGAAACGTATTTAATAAAGAGGAAAAACATACCACCATATATTCCAATTACATGATGAATTGAAGATAGACAATTTTTACAACCGCCAATATTGACATTTATCTGTAAGAAAAACACATTGCAAAACACAATCTACATATCGCTGTTGATAGTGAAATATTTTCAGTAGATTTTAATTAGGTAGACAAAATAGATCAGCAATAAAAATAGTGGAATTTTTTGAAAGATTTATGCCTTTTTTAGTCCGTGGGTTGACGTTTCCAGTCACTTTCTGGTAGTTTTTTAGTGGAAAATGAAAAAGCTAATCAGTTTTACAGAAAATGCCAATCTTCGCTCCAAGAATGTTGTAAAATATTTCATTTTAGTACATCTGGAGCTTATTTTTATATTCTTCATCTCAGAGACATTTACACTTATTACCACGTGCGTTGAGTGAAAATACAAACTGCTATTAAAAATGCCTAGGAACAGCTTTTTTGCATGACAATAGTTTACTTATATTCAAAATTACAAGTGATAACGGCTTGATATTCTTTGATCTTTTATATTCGACTATGGATGTTTCATCACTCTATGACGTTAATACTAGTTTCACACAGAAAAATGCTGAGTAAATCTCAGACACAACCAAGCAATTATTATCTTCGTCTTAAGTTGTATCTGAATTCCTGTCTAGCTCATCGCTACACTCCATCTATAGTGTGAACAAGCACCACAATGAATAAAATTACCAGAGAAAAAAGGAAACAAAATTGATACCAAAAAGAGCACTCAGTTGCCTTGTGTACATTCGTGAGGTAGGCGACGAGCCACACTTATTGCGTGAGGGTTAATGATACTACATGGTTGCCTAAACCTCGGTAGGAAGAACGGGGTCCGAACCCATAAATCACTAGTTGGCAGTCATCCTCCTAAACTCCTAAGCCACAGTCCCAATTTTCGTACTACATTTGTATTAAAAATGTAAGTTATCATGTCACACTTATGCTAACTATTGATGTCCGCGAACCTCAAATACCTTTCGCAAGAGCAGTATGACAATGTATAGTTCCATACAGACTTGTTCATTAGATATTTTACAATGACACAGAATTACTTACTAGATAACCTTTAGAGCACAATTTATTTTTCATAGTCATACCAAAGGCGATTTTACAATGAGATTCGAAAGTTGTGCAGTTACCTTTTATTTGACGATGAACAATAAATTGTGTTTGAAACATCATCCAGTAAATTATTAATTTCTTAACAATATTTTTTGATAATCATTTATGTAACTTGACTACGCTTTTTCTTCTTGAGCCTTTCGGAATTTTTAAATCGTTGGGTCTTTCAATTCAGTGTCTTGAATAAGCCATGACTATCTACTTCTAACTACCACCTAGGTTCCGTCTCCCATCCACCACAATTCAGAATAACTATGTAAATCCTCATCCGCTCTATATATGCTTTTTTCTGTCAAGGTGAGAGGTAGCCGGAACGCGTTTCCACGAATCCAATAGTTGGGAAAAGACCACTTCAATTTCCCAACCATTATTTACACTCTGATAAGAGTTACTTAGAGCAAATGTAGCCAACGCTTTGGATTGCCGTCAACATTCAAAAGCTGCTTGCCTAATATGGTGAGTCAGAGGTCTATAGTGTCAAATTAGGTACCTCCACTGACTACACAACCACGCTTTGTTTCAGAAACTACCGCAGACTGGTTTTGATAAAACAAGCTAATAACATGCCGTCTAGGTTCAATCGGTACACAGATTGATAAAGAAAAAACGCTCTCAAAGTTTAAAATTGACCACTCGATTAAGCAAAGACGATCGATAACCGCAATGTAATTGAGAATTGCAGGACTTGCTTTCTTGGTGAGCAGAATATCTCGATTCACATATGTCCACTTTTGATGACCATGAAACTGATAGAGTTACTCGACTGTCTTAGAACGATTACTGGATCAATAACTTGTTTCTCAAAAAACTAGTATTTTTGAAACCTAACTAATTTATTCGGTGTTGGTTTTTGAAGGAAACATACAGGATCCAGTAGCACTGAGCGCGTAAGCAGACTGGAAGAAAAAAACGAAACGATAGTTGAGATGATATTCCGCATTACTCAAAATCGGAGGGTTGTGGATACGTTTTTGATGTTTGTTTAAATTCGGTGACTGACACGGTAGCAGTGAATTCACTTAAAAGTGTGGCAAACTGACAAAGAATACATCCACATCCAGTAATGCCTGGTCCTATGTTGATATTGATGATGATGACATCCACCCGAATAGAACTACACATAATGCTAGGAGAATTTAGGTTACGTAGGGGTTTAAGCTGAGAGGAATTTTAATTTCAAACAAGAAATCTAACATTTCTAGCTTCAGCACTACGATTTATCTTTAGAAAGGGTCATTTCCGCCACAACAATACCTTTTATTAAAACTATTATTTCGCTAGTAGTGCAAGCTTTTATCAAATTTGTATTGAATATTAGATGTGTTATTACAAGGCTGAATGGAATTAAGAAGTGAAAAAAAATGTAGTACCTTCGTGTATTCTTTTGACATTCTGAAGCCTGCAGTTCAAATAAGTTAAAGTTGGAGTATTTCAAAAGATTTGTAAAAGACTGAGAAGAATACGCTCAAATATTAGTGTATTTACTCGGCAATAAGCAGTTTACAAGAAGTACTAAGGTTTTGACTAGTTTTCGGTGGGTGGTTGGTAAATAGAAATATCATCAGAACGAATTTTCTGTTGACTGAGAATGTATTGATTGCTTCTTATCATCGAGTTTACCAAAATTGATCCAAATAAAGCATGACTCAAAAGCAACTTGGATCCAGTAATTCGAAACGACTTGCTGCAAAGTTTCAGCATTCGCATCATACTTTTAGCATCAGTAATATCAGGTACTGGATAACTTCGCACGCTTATTGCAGCAAGTGCAGAAGCGACAAAGCTGAAGCCAAAAGGTAACAATAATCCGAACGTACTCTAGAGAAGAAAAGAATGAAGACTCGTAAGGCACCTACAACAACTAAAGTGATCTTTCTACAATAACTTACCGTGTAAATAAAGGTTTACAAGACAAATTAAAATCAAAAGGACAGAGATTAGTTATAAAGCCAATAAAAGGCCTAGTAAAATACTTACAATGACTGATCTGAGATCCTAGTAGGATTGTTCTTTTTTTCTTGACTTTAAAATGAGTTTGTGAAACGGGTGTTGCGAACAAACAAAAAAATCAACGGAGAATATTGTAAAGATATACATCAACTTAACATGTGGCGTTTCACAAAGGCGCAGAAAGAGGTGGTCATTAAGACAGAGAGGTGATAATTGCTACTTCTTTATTTTTAAAAATGGGAACGAAATAAGCATCTAGAAAGGCGACAAATCAAATAATAACATTTAAAACAGAGTGATATAGAAGTGATGAACAAAAGAACAACAAAAGCATAGAAGCGAAAACAGAAATGATTTTTTAAACAAACACTCTCAGGAAAACAGTAAAAGCGTTTACTAACTTCGTCTCACTTTTCGATAGCAGAGAAAGCAAAAGAGCTGCAGTATGATTGTCACTAGTTACGCGTTAGGTCACCGAGTTGCGTTTTCGCTTAGATCCCATCCAGTGTCGCCAGGCATCTACAGATACTAACTCCATTTGAATACCTTTCTTCCCACGGTGCGACGTCGAACACTAATCACCTTACTACCTCTTGCAACCAGTTCAGGGACACGCGAACAAAGTGCGATATGAGAACTACCTGGACAATATCTGAAGCACATTTCTAAGCCGGAGAAATTGGTGTTTGAGGACGACTTCACTAAATGAATGACGAACCTTATCTTATCATGTGTTGAGCATCCATCCTGATACAGCCAGTGTAACGTCATGACGGTATCAAGGGTGAGCATACGCTGCTCTAGCTTTCAACATTAAGCTAGAAATGTCGTCCTTATCACTTTCGTCTGCACTCATATAGATACGCAGATACATGGACCTATTGAGTGCTTCCAATGATTCACCGCTAAAAGTGAGTGAAAGCACATGTTCTTACTTATCTTGTGAAAGTGCTTTGCATTTCAACTGTGGAATCAATACGCGCGATGGCTTTCAGTACCTGGATAGTGGATGGCGAACATGTGACTGGTGAGTTGACAGGCTGAACGAAGCATAGTCTGCTGCTTATGAATGAGCCAATCACGCAATTTTTAAAATTTATGAAGCATGATACCAGCCAATATTTTGGATGCAAATGTTAGTGAACTGATATGTGAGTGGTCATCCCAAAATATCGCATAATCTTTTTGGAAGATAAGAGCAATGATAACCGCATCCCACAAGTTAATTCTGTCATGTCACCTCACTTCATCTCACAGGAACTGGAACTCCGCTTCATGCAGTGCACCAGTGCTAATCGGCCGACTGAGTAGGTTGATCACATTTATATTCTAGAAGTACTTTCATGCAGGAATGAAATGACAAACTCTGTTGGGAAGATCTGATCCAGTGCATTCACGTGATGGCAGCATTTTTACCGAAGTGAGGTAATGGGAGCGAATATCTACACACTGCAGATACGAAGGGTTTACCTAGAGGCTTTGGAAAAAGTTGGTGCAAGATTCAGAACTAACAGTCGTATCCTAAACCACTTCGACAACTGATATCGACGAGGATGAAGCACCCAACATTACTGCTTCACCTTATGGACTAAATATCCCGTCAGAGGCTACCAGGTGAAATATTCGCTTTAGCTTCGGTCCCAGTTCAAACCTCAGTAGAACAGGGTTTGAACTAGTAGACAACTCGTTGAAATCGAATGTCTAGACCAATGAAACACACCTTAACATTAACTCACGTGAGAAATCAGAGATGAGGAAACCATATGTACTCAGACTGAGAAAAAAAAAATCGAAATCCACTCAGTAACGTTTTGCGCATTTGTGCAGCAAGTAGTGAGTCACTCCTGTTGTCAGGGCTGATACTAACTGGCTGCCTAAACTTTTGTAGGTGAACCCGTGATACATCGGTTGGAAACCAGTCAATTAGACCAATTACCAACAGCTGCAGACTATGTTTACTAAAGGGGCACAAGGTATGGTCAAGGCAAGATGAAAGTGTCCTACCATTGTTTTAAAGTGAGAGTTGTTTTTTTTGTTTAGATGGGCCTACGTAATAGGGATATTAGTCTGCTACCAGTTGCATCTAAAGCATTAGTTTTTATCATACTTCATCGATTCTTCAAAATGCGTGGGAAGCTGATTTACGACGGGTATGTGCGGTTTCATTCAGGTCATAAATACAAAAATCGTGTTCAATCTCTCATTTGCTCAAACACCATATTATGTAATACTGACCACGAACTGTTAAGCTTCTTGATACTGGGGTTGCTTTCGATTTGTTGGAGGCGACTGCTGATTGTTAGAGTGGAATTTTCTGGGGGACTTTATTAACACGTTGGGAATTTTGTATGAAAATACTTCAATTAGAGTGAGGGCATAAAACCACTTATCAGTAATGAACTCAGTGGGAATTTGGATTTGAACAGCCATTACTTTACATTTGTAATGAAGAGGTTTCGCTGCTTAATTATTTGAACTACCTGCTGCTTTAAAAATCTCACAAGTCGACAAACATTAATTCTTATGAATAAATAACTGTAGGACATAGGAAAGTTATCAATAACAGTCACTGCATATAGTTATTTTAAATAATAGTGCATCATAAAAACTTGCGTACAGATTGCAAATAATCACTTAGTACTCATAAAATGCTCAGCAAGATGATTAAACACGTATTAGAATTACTGGCAAGACTTACGAGTGTCAAAACTCCACGTAGATGTAAGCAAATGCTGCAGTTAGGATAAAAATTGGAGGTAGCAGGTGCAGCAAGAATCTCCTGTAGAACTAAACGACTAAAGGCTATATAAGAAGTCATCGTAGGAGTTATAACACTTGGGACCAGTGCAAGAAAAAACCCAGTTTTACTGTGTACGTTGAAAAACAGTCTCATCTGATTGTTGACAAGCAAACTGGAAAACAGAGTTACAACTGCCACCACTTCCTTTCCAAAAGTAAGAGGTAACACGTCGAATGGTTTTCCCCGTGACTGAACTGCTTTAAAACGTAATGAAATTGTTTCTGATATACTTAACAGTTCTCCACCATCCGCCATATTCTCCGGGTTATAAAGAAAGATTACTGTTTCGCTTCTGTTTGATCGATGTAGATTTTATGCAAAAATATGTAAAGTAGCAGTAGCACCTATAATTCCATAAACAATGAAGTTCATTGATAACCGGCACGTTGTTACTCATCAAGAAACGGTATAAAATCTTACCACAAAACATGCTAGACAGACGTATAATAGGACAGAACAAACTGCAGCGTAGCGTACTCATCTTTCAACAGAGTCAGATATTTCACTCGGGACGTAAGTTGGCAAATGTTAAACGACCCTTTTGAATTCGAGCTGAAATTCATGCAACCTGATACAACTCCACAAGTGAACTGGTTAACGCATCCCACCACTTCAACTATTAGCCTTGAACTAGGAGTTGGTGTAGAGCAGTCCTAAAGCACCATTTGACAATTGCCAAACACTCGGATTTCTGCACATAGTTCCAGAAAAACCGGTATCCCCCTAGTCTTTTTCTAAAATAATGTCGTCTGCATACTCCAAACCAACCAGGTATCTACCAGGGAGTGGATTGATTTCTAGAAAGTCAGGTACTTACTTCTATATCCATTAGCACGTTTGTAACTAAGTTTAATGAGAAATGTCATAGTGGACATCCTTAGGGGATGTTATTGGTCGTCACTACTACAAATCACAACTATACATAGGCTCTCACAGAGCGCTAGAGTAGAGAGGCTACATTACCACTACATACCTGTTTAGAACACCACAGTCAGACACATCTTTAGGTCGATGAAGTCAAATGCCGCCTTTAGTTCAAGATTTATGAGAAGTGTTGGGCACCGGAATGCATGATAGTCCAATAACCTGATGAAGACTTGATCGATGCAGCCTAGACCAAGTCTGATACCTGTCCAGTTTTTCTGTTCCCGATCAATAGTTATGAGTCGGATAACTATGAATCCTAGAATCTTGAACACGATGTTAGTCAAACTGATTCTCCTACGGTTGTTACAAGACTAGCCTGACGGGATTACCTACCAGTTACTTTGCTCATTAATTTCCTACCTACATTCTTAAGATCTGGTGAAAAATAATTAGGTTCCGCTGTTTTGCATATTTGAAATAGTTTCAAATTCAAGCTGGATGATGCGCAACTGAAATACGGCCGTTAACAAGGTGAACTGTTGGATCCGACCAGAAAACCCCACACAACCGGCAACAGAACTCTACAAGGTAGGAGGAAGTGTGCTGTTCCAAGGGCCTAGTTCTTCTACACCTGCATGGATTGCTGATCATCTCCGGGAAACACCTGACTTCTGTCACCCTGAGTCCATATAGCAGTGCAACTTCGCTTTTCAACCACCATCAAAACATAAGGTATCCATTTGCGCCATGAAGTGCTTCTTGTTATACCACTATCTAACAGACTTCCGGTACTGCACGACTCCAAAGAAGGATTGTTCCAGAAGTTCAAGCTCGTTTGGTCACTGCTATTTGTGAGTCCCACCACTGTCATAACATTTTTCTGAACTTCATGGGTGGTCACATTTCAGTCTGACCATTGCGCGATGAAGCAGACGGTGGCTAATCATGCCCCAGCAAACCGAGTCGATGAAGGTTTACAACCTCGACTGACTTACCTCTTCTGTCCAAAACTCTACGCCTGACTTCCACTTTACTAACGTGATAACACCGTGAAACTAGGTACCAGTGAAGACTATTCCCGGAGCATGTTTGACGGGCACACGCTTAGGGATGTTCGAATGCAGGGTCTTCAACAGAATGATGTACCTACTCGAGATCCCTTTCAGTGAGACTGGTATAAGATCTCTTTGCTACTGGAATTGAATGCCACTTTCAGGTTGAGAAGTACACCTAGTGTCAAACATGGATGCCGCTGTTTTAAAACCAAACTTAAACGTCGAATGATTACAGAAGCTGGTATCTTAGACATTGTTGATTATACTGATCACAGGTGGATGTCCGTTGTTTATACAAGACTAGGAAGACCAGAAGTTGAGATCAGCCAAACGCTGCTGCAGCTAATTCCTACACGTTACCTAAAAATTCCGTTAACCTGATTTATAATCCTGGGCCACCAGTCTTCAATACCTATGGTATAAACCAATAATAGTCTGCTGTTTTTACCCTTTTCAAATTTGAAGTGTTAGGGACCATTCCTCATTGTTTCATTCAGAACTGGACTGGTTAGCGGGATAACGGCTGGACTGTACCTTGAAGCGTTTTATCCATTGTTCTGTTCATCTCAATGAATAGCGAGTGGATTGAAGACCTATTCTTTTACGTTATAGTCCCAATAACCGTTGACCATTTTGCCTAAGTTTCCTAGATTTTTCGGCGTAACGACCTGCTGTTACATTTCGCCAGCGTCTTTCTACCAGTCACCCTTCACCCCTGCTCACAATATCGGCTTTGTAGGTATGCATTGAATTGTTCCCACTCTTCACTGTGCTTGCATGCTGTCGAAATGTGTTTTTACACAAAAGTTACTTCTGAAGATGCCATGATATACTGACTGTCAGGCTGCATGAATCTGTGCACAATCCACTCATATACAACTTTATTGATAATTTCACGGACCGAATTAACTTATGTATGTGTGCATGACATCCTACCTACAGAAATTTATGACCAAATAACACACACTTATGTCACTTTTTGTGGCTAAAACTGGATACGAGTAATGCAATGAAGTACATGACAGTGCTAACTAATAAGCCTGAGAATCAGGCCAAAAATGTCACGTTATAGCACTTTACGCACCAAGAGCAAAATGTCTCTCTAACGTCGTCGTTAATCTCTGTATGCGCATAGGAGAGCCTTTAAATATTGCTGTTGGAGTAGTATATGTGGGTCAAAACAGCGCAGAGCATGGAAAACAAGCAAAAGCCTTCGTTCTCAGTCGATTTAATATCTTTACACTCTATACCTTTAGAAACGCAAACTTAGGTTAGGCTACTTCATAGCATATCTAATTTTTTTTTGATCTGCAGATCAATAGAGCCCATGCGAATGAGCCAATTCGGCGTGTATACACAGTAACCCAGCAGACGATGTTCATAAAGGGCAATACTCAAATACTTAGATTTACTCATAATGTACTGTATACTAGAGTATGAGGGTTAACGTACTGAAAACACAAGATTTTAATATATCCAAGGGATTTTTCGTGAAAAGCCTTTGAGATAACTCAGAGTCGATTAGAACGACCTTTCAAACTGAACAGTATCAATTTCTAGTATTTCGTAAGCTGATTGTCGACCAAGACACGGAGCAGTTTAGTTAAAACATTCACTTCATGGAATCAGAGCGTCGAGAACACACTGAAGCGCGCGAGTTGGCGGTTGGCACAATCAACAATGTCCAATGTCCAATATCTTTTTACTAGCTGCTGTAAATCAATTGATTACTTTCGTGCTAGCTTCTAGGTCTTGCGGAACGGTTCCAGGTCTTTGGTTGGTTCCGAAGCAGTCTTGTAACCAGTAGAGCACTTGTCTCTTGATGCCAAACCTTGATATTTTGTGAATAAGAATGGTATGGGAGGATGTGTCAAAGGCCTTAGCAAAATCCAGAAAAATAACATGTACAGGAATTTGGAGATCCAGGCATGCCATACACTTATCACCTACCGCCAGAATGTTTGAGGCACAGGACCTACCCTTTCTGAAAGCATGTTGAGCATCACTTAGTACAGACAACATCCAATATCCAATATTTGTTTAACGGGCTTGCGTAAACCAGTTGATTTCTTCTTGCTCATTTTTTTGTCTTGTGGAACGGTTCCAGGTCTTTGGTGGGATCCGATGCAATAGATCCACCCACTAGTCTGCTTGGTTAGATCGCCTCGGCGGTGGTACGGTTGGCTCCTTCAGATGTTGAGTTGTCAGAGTTGTTCGGACCGATCGTTAGAGACAGTTAGGGATTGTGAAGAGGAAACAGAAAAGAAAATTTATGCTAGCGAAAGGGGAAAGGAAGGTAAACTAATGGGATAGTCTACTTACTCCCGAGTAGGACTAAGAGGGGTACAAAGATGTGAAGAACTTAGGTAGGTGAGGCTAACTCATAGAAAGTGGAAGGGATGAAAAGTGCTCAAATGGTTGCAGTAGAAAACGGGTGTAGGGCAACATAGTTGGAATGTCGTGACACAGTCGGTTTCTTCTGTTTAGTTCGTGTTCCAGCTACATGTGGGTAGATCGTGGTTCTCTGTGCCACTGTCTAGCCTTTTCATGAAGCTTTCAATAGATGGGCAGGAGGTTATCCCTGCCGGTAATAAATTCCACTGCCCACAGACTCCAAGGGAGAAGTGTGAACCCACATGAGTTTTGACCTTTGGTGGACAATTCTCTTGGGGTTTCCAGGAGGGTCACCATAGTGGCCACCGCGTAGTATTCCACTGTTCCGGGTAACTTGGGTTGTTCGGTATTCTGTAAGCTATAATCAAGGCACCTTGTAACCTCTGGTAGCTAAGAGAGCGTAGGCCAACGCCTTTCAGTCTATCTTCGTGTGGTTTTCGTTGCTCGCCTCTGAACCTTCTCTAGTAGGTTGGTACCTCTTTTAAGATATGGTAGGGCGAAGATATTATTGACCTCCAAGTGGATTGGTAGGTTATTCTTGTAGAGTTTCAGAAAGAGATCTGGTGCGAGGGCACCTAGTTGCCTGTTCACAAGATGTACTACATCGTATACCTTTGATACGTCACCTGGGAAATTGGCACTGTTGTCCAGTTTCTCTGTCACCTTTAAACCCAAGCCTTCGTCTGCTGCAGGATGGAATAGATATGAACAGCTGCGAGTAGGATACTTTCTGGGGGTTAGGAATGCGGAAACACATGGACCGGCACTTGTCCTACTTAAATGTTAGTGTGTTATTTGTTGCCGATTCTTCGAGTGCTCTGAAGTCGTTTTGTAATACACTCGATTCCGCTTCGCAAGTTGCTACCCTCCATAACTTGACGTCGTCAGCGTAGAGGAGAATCGGAGAGCTGATACGCAGCCGAAAGTCATTCACAAACA